TTCACTCAAATAATTGATATATTCTCAGTTGGACTGAAGCAGACATTTCACTTTGACTTTTATAGCAGAGATGTTGAAACTTAGGAAAGTTTGTTGAAAACTTTGTTTTCTGTCAAAACTGCCCCCAACAGTCAACAAAAAAATTCCTCAACAAATTTTCTAGACTGACAAAGATTATTTTTAAATAAAAGAAAGTACTATAAGAAAGCTAAGAAACAGGTCATTTTCATATCCAATAACCAAAAAGAATGTTTTGGCAGAAATGAACTTATCTCCACTGCAGTCTAACGCCTTTCAGATTTTTAGTACTTGCTTATCTTTGTTAATACACTCAAGCATACATACATCTTCTGAGAGTTCTGCTTTAATGCCCGAGCTTTAATGGCTCAGCTGACAGGATATGTTAAAAGACACAAAAAAATTAGTAGCAAGTCTGAGCTCCATGAACAATACTATCTACTTTTAGACTTTAGAAAGTGCAAGACTGATCCATAAATTAAAACAACCCAAATTAAAAATGTGGAAAATAGATCATTAAACCACTCACCCCACAACACCCTCAAACTGGAGCTAAGCTTCATAACAAATGAAACGTTTTCAGACAGACAACTTCAACTTAATACTTATTTTCCACTTCTCTCTCCCATCTTTTAACTTAGAAGTTGTTTATAAATTATATATGCAAAGATACCCAGGAAATAAAGTCAGAATAGCACTAAATCTGATGATTTATATAATGCTGTGGTAACATAAAAACCAGGCACAGTTATAGATATGCTTACATACACATGAATAAATGTATATGTAGGTAGAAGAGAGTATGTTTATGATGGGATGCTCTATACTAAATTAATCTTGGCTATATTTTGATTTTCCTCATGACAAGGCAAACATAGTAAGACTCAAGTAACATTACAACAAACTCTGTGCACCACCCCTGCTTTCTAATCCAAACATTCTACCTTCTGGACAATTCATGTTAAAAGAAATACAGTTTGTTTTTCCATTCCTGCACACCCCTTCCACTAAATTTAAAGTGTAAATTTATTAAATTGATTAAGGAAAAGCATATGATAAACAGGAGTAATTTTCCCTTTTCAGAGTGAAGTGTGACAGATTTTCATTATAGTTTCATGAGATTTACCTGAATTCCATGAGGGCAAATACTTTTTTTTTAGAATTAGCTTTATTAGGAATTCAATACAATATATAAAATAAATGTGAATATTTGTTCTGGGCTCCTTTTTTATTTGTTTTGTAAACTGAACGTGTCATACAAGTTGTTTTCAGGATAGCAGTTGATTCTGTATGTGCAGAATCAATATGAATATTGTAGTACAACTTCTATTACAGAACGAACTGACTTTGGCAAGACATTGAATTGTGTAAAAAGAAAGTTATATATTTTCTGAACGACTGACTTTTACAAACAAAAAATACAGAAATCACTGTTAAAATGGGTATTTTTGTAGTACATTTATAACTTGGCAAAAAAACAACCACTCTTCACTTTTGCTACACTGACTGAAGTTCATTGCAAAATAGTTTTTTACTCTCACTAATCAGTTTGGAAAACTGGAAGTTTTGGAGTTTATTACTCTATTGGCCAAAATTTTTAATTAGTTCGTCTGTTTCAATCAATGATTCAAAACATATTTTGTGTGCTATAACTTTCTTTAAGCTTAAAGAGCTTTCTCCCAGCTGTTTAACCACCAATGTACCTTGACAAAACCAATTTGCCCATATTTAGCCTACTTGCTCTTGGATATATTAGGACAAACTCAATAAGACGTACTGCAGACTGCACTTCTTTCTCTTCTGCTGAAAGTGCCTGATCAAACTAAGTGCTTAATTTAGAAGACAAAACTTTAGTTGTTTTAAGGAAGAAAGTGTAAGATTTACACTTAAATTTAAGTGTAAATTTAGATTTTAGATTTAAGTTTAGTATCTTCTATATCGAATACATTTTAACAACAACCAGACCCTGTGCCTGAGAGCATTTTCCAGATTCTTCTTGAGCTCTGCCAGGCTGGCTCTGTGACCATTGCCCTGGGGAGGCTGTTCCAGTGGCCAGCCACCCTCTGGGTGAAGAACCTTTTCATAATATCCAACCTAACCCTCCCCTGACACAGCTTCAGGCCATTCCCTCAGTCCTGTCCCTGTCACCCCAGAGCAGAGATCAGTGCCTGTCCCTCCACTTCTCACAGGAAGCTCAAACTGCAATGAGGTTTCCCCTCAGTCTCCTCCAGGCTGAGCAAACCAAGGGACCTCAGCCACTCCTCATACAGCTTCCTCTCGAGACCTTTCACCCTCAGCAATATTAGCTTATAGAATCCAATTGCCTTTTTTTTATCTTTCTTTTTTTTTTTTTTACCATTTTACCATTGCATTTGTGTTTTAAAACTACACTGGATAGTTCCAGTTACAGCACTGAAGATCCACCATTTTTTCTGCACTACAGAATACATCCACGTTTTTTATACTCAGGTTTCATCATATCAGATGTCTTTTTAATAAAATGGGAATATTAATTTCCAGGATCTGGGAACTTTCAAACTACTTCAATTTATTTAGAATACAATATATTAACTTCCAGTAACCACAATGTGACTAAACCTAAGCATTTTGTCTGTACTGCATTTTACTTGCTAACAATAAAATAACAACTTTCAATTATAATAAATTAAATTCAAATTGACTTTGTATTGTACAATGAGACTGAAATAAGTGCTAAGACTAAACACCTACAGAGATGTAATTAATTTTAGGAAACAATGCTTTTAGGAGACATTATTTACTTTGAATAGCTCAACTGATTCAAAATAATTCTACTTTGAAGTCTACATCAAAGGGTTAATTTAAGCAGGAAAACAATTTTTTGACATATGACTAGATAACACGAGACTCAGTAATAAAAAATGCAAGTCTTTCTTCTGCTGTTTCTCTTCTAGATTAATGAAACTTTTATGTTTGGTATTAAGTTGTGTCTTGATTTGTTCCATTACTGCTGTCAGGCTACTCTTCCACCCCCAGATGTTGGAATACTGCTCCAAGATAAGTGATTTTACTAGTGGGACCATAACAAGAACCATTTCCTTATACAGATATGGATATATTAGTCTGCCATGAAATACCCAGGCTAGAGCTAGGGCATGGAGCTGAAGTACACAGACTAAGGGCAGGTGAAAATAGTGCTACTTCTCAAAGCTGGTTTTAAGAAATCAGGAGCACATAAACAGGAATTTCTGCCTACCTTCCCACTTAATTTTTTTCTTTCCAGGTAACATTAGTGTTCTCTGTTCTGTTTAGAAACTCAATTTTCCAAAAGAGAAACCAAACCGTACATTTTCTAGTTCAGTTTCATGAGTCTGAGTCTTTACTGACATCACATTAACATAGGAAGAAGATAAGAATATTGCTAGTAATGAAAAATGTCTTACATCAACCTTTTATGAAACTGTGCCTCTGTAGAAATTCTCATTCCAGATACTTAGAAGGTAATGAGAGATAGTGATTGTTCAGATTGGAGCTTTTATACTTCCTTTTGAGTAGAAGAAGCAGCAGATATTATTCTAGCCCATTGATGGTCCTCGTTGTTATCAGTGCATATGGTAGAGAAATGTGGTCACACACTCCATGTGCTAATCAAGTCCCTCACACCCAACTCATACTCTTGATGTGGGGTCCTATGGAAATCTCTATTCACCTGATGTGTGCAACACAAAGCAGTATGCATGGAGTCAAAGGGCAGTAATGAGTTCTGTCTTCCAGCTGCTCAATAACTTGTCAGGATTTACAAAACTAGACCATAGCAGGCAAAAATTAGTTAATGCTACTATTTAATAGAAAGATTCCCAGATAAAAGCAGTATGGAAAAACTTTTTGTGACCTGCTGCTTTTATTTCCCCTTGCAGACATTATATGCTTTGTAAATACTCTTGAACACTCAAAATGTTATTTCAGTTTTTTTTAGTATCTAGGTTATATCGATACCCCAAGTGTTAGATCACAGTTTGCCACTGCTGTAATCTGTTTCAGTCAATCCTGGGACTTGGAAGATCCCAAGGCAGATCCGTAGTGACTACAGTCCCCAGCTGCCTGCAGCTGAGATCTTGTTGTTGCCTACGCAGAAATTGTACAGTCCTGCATTTACCGTGATCATGGGAGTTTGTTACCTGCCTGCTCTGTTCTCACAGCAAGAGCTGCAACTTCCAATCAATCTGTAAATTCGGGATTAGTTTAGCTCTCTGGTGAGACGATCACACTTGTAACTGACAAAATTATCATTTACAGGCCCAAAATTCCAACATGGAAGGAAAACCTTGAATCTAGACTGCAAGATGTGGAATCATGGGCAACTTTTTTTCAGGCAAAGATGTGAATTAGTTTTCAAAACTCAGGTGATTAGGATCCAATACAAATAACAGATAATAGCCAAACCCATAGTAGTAAGTTACTGTGCATTTTCTAACAAGAACTCCTATTGTAAATATTTCTCAGCTAATGATTTAGAATTAAAAAACAACTAGCATTCAAGCTAACTATAAATTACATTTTGGCCTGAATGGAAATCTGAATGCCATCTGAAATGGAAGAGATACAAGCAAAATCTTAGAAAGAACTGGACAGATAAAATAGTAATAGTTAGAAAAATATCATTCCAGGGCAAAATTACTCAACCTCTACCCTCAAAACAAAGCACAATTATAAACACCACACTTTCAATTATAAAACATTTAAAGCCTGTTAGTCAGTTAAATGGGAGAAAAAAAATCTGCACTAAAGCTTTAAGGGACATTTTGGGACAGTAACATCCTCATTAAAAAATAAGGATATATCAAAATTCTTCTGTTAAAAGGTTAAATGTTAGTCTCTGTGTAGCTGATAAATGTTGGACTAATCTAATCAGTGGCTTTAAGAGGCAATGCCATCAGCTAGTTGCCCTGACCCGTGCTTCTTACATTTTTACAAAAGTCAGATTTAAGAAAGATGTAAACTTCAGGCCTTTGACCTGGCAAGGACCTTGTTCGTGCCAGCCTGGTGTTCTGCTAAACAGACTGAGAACTTCCAGCTGAAATCAGGAACATGTGCACTTCACTAATACAACACATGACTTGGAAATTAAAATGCAACGTGATCAAGTGCTTTAGGATATTTTAACAGTTAAGAATGCAGCTAGGGAAGAAAAAAGCTGGTATCTGTGTTTTGATTTGGAGAGGGGGAAAAGGACAAATTAAATTGCATTCGTTTTCTTAAAATACGTAGAGAAACAAAAATTCAGTTCATTAGTTCATGCATGACTGACCTAGAGGAAATAAGAAGGTTGTATGTGTCTTTATGACATGTGTCACTTATTAGGTAAGAAGGTTTTACTACTTCCAATTGAACTAAGTTAAAACTAATTAGATGGTAGTTAAATTAAAAACTAAATATAATAAACCCAAATAAAAATAGCAAATGACATTTTAGTTATCAATATTGCTCCTAAATTAAGTTGATTATTTCCAATAGCCCGTGTATTGATTATTTTCAAGCACTGAATACCAAGCTTTGCCATCTGTTGGAATGGCAGTTTAATGCTACATACACTAACTAGGACAGACTTTTTACATGTGCCGTATTTAATCAGATTAGTTTATTTTATTACATCTTCTACTGATACTTACATAAGTCTCCAGACATTGCATATGAATCTGAACTAGGTATAAAATCCATACACCCTTTTTGACTATTCTGGCATGATAGTACAGTAGAACTGACAGGGAGACCGAATGATCCAGTTTCTAATTACTACCAGCATCTCTGATCAATGTTGAGATTTTACATTTGATAATATATGAAAGGTGCATGTAGTACCCATGTAGATTTTCACTCACAAAGTGTGAGGATTATGTATCACTATTTCACAGATTAAATATCATTATTTATCAATAAATGTATCTACATACCCACATATATATATTTATTCCATCTCAACTACTTACAAAATAACAGTCTAACTACATTTTTGGCACAAATATGCTTATCCCTTGCATTCCTGGGTTTTAGACTTACATGGAAGCTTGAGTAGGAAGCAAACTGTTCAACTTGGATTAGCGAAAGATGACAATGCTAGGTAAAAGAAACTAAACACAGGAAATAAACAGTTACACTACCTTCCATTAAAAATAGACCCTCTTTTTGATATTCAAGCATAGAACACATTTACTTATGGATCTCCATCTTGTACTGGAGGACCAACCAGAAAAAGTGACTTTTGTTGCTTTTTCCTTCTATCTGGAAGATGCTTCTCCTGATTTTAGAGTATCAGAGTCTATTTAATTAATGGCCAACCTGTCCCCTACGGCAGTTTCCCAGAGAGTCCTATTGAATAACTCCTTGAAGAGTTGAAGTTTGATTTCCTAAAATTCAGGGTTCTGACTTTACTCTTTGCCTGACCCATATTCCTCAGGACTGCAAACTTCACCAGTGCATGATCACTTTATCCCAGGCTGCACTTTATCCCACTCCAGTCTTGATGTTCTTGACTAGCTTGCTTGCATTGGTGACCATCACTATTGCATCCCCTCTGATAGGGCTGTCTATTACCTGGCTCAAGCTGTTATGCATTCCAGGAATCTCCTGGATTGCCTACAGCTCATGGCGCTACGTACTTATCTAGCAGATGTTGTCCCAGTAGGACAAGAGCCTGTGAGTGTAATGTCTCCTGTAGCTGGAGCAACAAGGGTTTATCCATAACTTCTCCTTGACTGGACAGCCTGTAGTAGACACCAACAACAACGTTCCTTTGCTGCCTTGGTGTTTGATTCTTAGCCATAAGCTTATGACCTGCTTGTGGCTATTCTTCAGAAAGAGCTCTTCACACTCAATCCATCTCTGATTTAGAGGGCAACTTCTCTTGTGCAGGGCAAGCACTCTATCCATCTAACCTTGGCATGTCATTCCACAGCTAATCACAGACTAGCCTGATCCCCTTCCTCCATCATAAGAGGGGGAAGCTCTGTCCATGAGTCCCATTAACCCAAAGAACCTCTTCCCTTCTAAAGAAAGATGAATCCCAACTGATTCCAGCAAGCCTGGTGCTGTGTAGCTCATCCCATTATCAAACATCCCAAAATCTTGACAGGGACACCAACCATGGACCCACGTTCTAATAGAAGCTTTAGCATAAGTTGATAATTTCTTCAGTTCTGCTAGAGAAACTTCCTAGAAAACAACAAGGCAGAATACTTGGCAAACTTATATAAACAAATAGAACAAGCAACCAGAATAAAGAAGATTCAGGTGTGGACATACTACGTTTAAAATATCACCTCATATGGGTGAGGTGTTGTTTTTTTTTTTTTGTTTGTTTGTTGTTTGTTTTTTTTTTAATTTATTTTTGTTTGTTTGATTGTTTGGGTTTTTTTTTTTTTGTTTTGTTTTGTGGAGAGGGGAAATACATTTATAACCTCTGACTCAATGACCCATCTTGCAAAATGACAAGCTCCTTCAATTTACCAGCATATTTCCTCAGCAAAATCACTACAAAACAAGAAATGTTCAGATACTGGGAATCAAGGGCCAAGTTCCTGGCTGGCCTAAATTAAGTCTCCTTCAAATCAAAGTGATGAAACTCAGAGAGCAAGAGCATAACTCTGGAAAAAATGAGGAAAAGGTGATGGATATAGATGGGGGAGAAGGACATGTGTCAATAAAGCAGTCTTAACTTTTAAATTACGGCACAGAAAGGTTCTATTCTAAGGCCTTTATGCAAGAGAGAAAACAAAAAGCTCTGCACTAGCTTTAAAATCTCCAAGAAACAGGACATTTGGTAAAATGGAGGAATCAGAATCTAAGAAAAACAGTAAAATGAATATATTCGAATTCAAAACAATCCCTGCAAAAAAGGACAAGTTGATACTTCTCACTAGATCTGTGCTCAATTCATGAACATATTTAAAGAATTCAGGAGCTTGCATCAGGAATTCAGGAGGCACAGTGTGGTACTGAAACAATACTTTAATCATACTTTGAGTTTTTATCCCAACAAAAATAAACAATAAACCATTGATATGAAAAAGCTCCTCAACCAACAACATCAACCCAACACACTCTTGAAGCCATAGATAAAAAGACGTCCTATCAGTTGGACATAGAATTGGTATTTAATTCTGAAAATATTTAACTGGTATTGAATTCTGAAAAACACTTCAGAAAATCACCTTCTGCTGAGCAGTCAAAAAAGAAATCCCAATTCTTTTGTGTCATCAGTAATAGCACCTCAGATATCAAAACCATAGAACGAGAATACATTTCAAAAACAAGCATCAGGAAATGAACCTTAAGAAATTTTAACTGTTCAGCAGGGAGAAAGGATAAGATCAGAGGCTTATATTTTATTGGTTTTGTCCATGAGAAATTAAGTACTTTACTTATCCATAAAAGGGATGCAGGCCAAAATCGTAAAGAACATGTTAACACCGCTAGCTTGTAATGGATGCAATCACAGTATTACTATCTAAATTTTTGTTTACTTTTCAACAGATTGGTGTCTGCAGATCATGCTGTCTTACACTGCCGTTCCTCTGTAACCTTAACCATTATTCCTACTGTGTAAAGTGAAGCACAAATTTAAGGTGACAAAGCACCAGTTGGCTGATGTGAAGTATGCTACGAAAGCAGAAACCTCTGAAAGCTTCACAGCCATTATGAAATAACTGACCTATATGAAACTGCTACCATGGTTCACAAATTTATTGTCAGGTTCCAGCCTCTAGCTGTTCTCTGATTGTTCTAAATACTTGACAAACTGAAGCCTTTTCACTTTCCGTTGAAATTGCCTCATCTCCCTGTCAGAGCGCCATGGGGGACTCCATTACTTTTCTGACTTCTTTCCCCTACTGACAAGTCATTTAGCTGGCTTCTTGTTGTGAAGGCTGTCCATGTCAAATTAGCCAGGGCCCCTATTGTCCTTATTACCACTCGAAAAGCCATCATGAGTAATGCTACGGGGTCCCTCAGTTGTCATCATTTGTCAGAAAGAAAGGGAGTGTGGTTACATATAGCTGACAGGTAATTTCAGTGTCTACAATTACCCCAATTAGTCTTGTCATAAACAATTCGATAAATGCACACCAATACAAACAGATAAACACACCAAGGTTTCTCACTATTAATGTTATGTAATGGATAAATCAGTGATATAACGCTATATTTTATTTATTTTTTTAAACTATTCTCAGCTGCAAGCTGGCAGTTGCTACCTGGTCAGCACAAATTGTACTATCTACTTTCATTAGCTCATCACCACAGAAGAATATGAAAGGCTGTGACAAAATTCATTTAGAGAGAGCACGAAAGAGCAGATTGCCTAAAGCAGGTGTTATAACAAAGATAAAACAAAGGTTTGCTTTTGTCAGTTCAATGCTGCTATGAGCTTTAAAAGAGACTATTTTGTCCTTAAAAACAAACATAACATAGAAGTGCAACAGAAAGAGAAAGCAGTAAAATATATTCCCTGCTTCCCACCATTTCCCAAGTCAATCAGCAGGTGAGTCTTCTAACAATGTATGCATCAAAACTTCATTTGCCAAGGTGGTCACAATATTAACCAAATTATTTCCACATATTTTTTCTATTTTTTAAAAAACAGACATCTTGCAATGCCATACGGTTCCTGAAAGATCTGATAATTATTCCACATATCTACAATGCAATCCCTGATGTTCTCCACAGAATTTTTTGAGAACAGGTTTAGTAATTCCAACTGCCTGGACAGTCTGGAGCACTGTGCTAAAGTCTTTTGGAGCATAAAATATTGATAATGTTAACTGCTCTTCTAAAATTCCAGGTAGACCTGTTAGAAACACAACACTGAGAAAGGCAACTTTAATAACATTTATATTAAGCACTGAATTACACATTGCTAGACTTATCCTTATGATCCACCTAAATAAAAATCTTGACATCTCTAGAGTCCACAGCACCCTGTCTGTTTGCTGACCGCAGGCTGAAGTGATGGCTGGAAAACTGAACACAGACATGTTGTTGTAGGAAATTGCTTTTGGCAACTATTTGCTCAAACTCAAGATTTTTTTTAAACCAACACTAAGAACCCACCAGAAAACAGGACAGGTCTCCCTAATGAGTAATCTATTTTAGCACAGTCTTGTCTAGGCATGACAGTTTACTGAGAGGCTTGAAAAACTCGTAATTACCAGTGTTACAGGGCAATTAATGTATATTACACTGCACTACTCATGGCAGCAACTGTCATTTTCTCAATAAAAATGAGTACTCTTCAGCTAAAGGTGACATTAATTGGGACTTTAATGACTATGCAGAGGAGCTGAAGCCAAATATGAACAAAACAGCGATTCAATGAGCGACTTCAGAAACGAGAAAATTGTACTAAAATGAGATTAATTGCTGTTTAGAAAAAGGAAAGAACCTAAAAAGCTATTAAATTGCAGGGTTTGGGTGCCCGGGTGATGGTTGTGATGTTAATCTTGCATTCTCACAGCAGGCAAATATTCACTAAATTCAGAGCCTTTTGACAGCAGGAAAAATCATGTATGCTTAACTTCAATCCATCAAAAATATATTTCAGCTTTTATCAGTGTTCTAAATACTTCTGCAATTTCAAAAATTACTGCTCCATTCCTTGGCTGTCATCATGCAAATGCGAACACTGTCAATATTGCTATGAAAAATTCCCTGGCTTCAAAAGGCCTGCTTCAGTGATAAAGAAAGAAAAATGTGAAGATTAGAATTGCAAAATACACACTACTAATATAACAGAAAGCAACAATAAGAATTTAATGTTTAAGTTGTGAAAACTGCTAAAATAGAAAATGATGGGGTATTGTTTTAGTGTGTGTGGGGAAAAAAAATAAATCAAAGAACTCCCCTACTCTCATAAAATCCTTAAAGCTTACAACTTTACAGAAAATTACTCATTGCAAATAATTAGGACATAATTTTCCAGCTTGACTTCAGGTGATATAATTATTAAAACTGCTCTGTAGTTTCTAAAAGCCTTTATCTGTGCTACTTAATTCTTTAAAGCAATTATATAATTGCTTTTCTTTATAGCCTTTTTAACTGTCATGATGACTGTATACATAAAACATTGCACTTAAACTCTGACATATAAGAGGGATAAACATAGCTCTGATTCACTATTCACTTTGAAGTTATATCTCCTATAACTTCAGATTTTAAAACAGAAAATCAGTTTATCCTGTCAGGTTAAAAATTGCATATGGAGCATTCATGTATCTTAAGAAGAAAAACTTCTCTTCCACCCAAACCCACAACAGTTGCACCCTGGAAGAGACAAAAATAGAGCT